CGAGCAAAGCACAAGGACTGACTGATCCTTGAGAGCTAAATTCCTCTCTTAGTCCCGGTGTGGTGTCCTCTAGCCAGGGATCCTATCCTGTCCTCTCAGCCAGCAGTACAAAGCCTTTGCACCCACCATACCTCCCTGTATCTACCCATTCTTCTGCACAGCAGCCATTCAGAGAGGGAAAATGTTTTTTGAGTCCTAGAATGGACGAAAATGTTGTTTGCCTTTAGAAAGACCCTTCTGGGACCAGCATATGGCTCCCCAATGGAGAAGATACAAATCCTCCCAACAACAGACACTACGGACCCCCAGAAACGCTATCTGGTGTACGTTACAAAGGACAAGGTATGGAGCCCCATCTGCCCCAGCTGTACAAGAGGCCCCACTTGAAGACGTGGTGGTCCCTAGGGCAATTTCACTGCAGACAAAACCATGCATGGGCTGGTCCTGGCTGAGGGCTGAGTGAGCTCCCGGGAGGAGGATGCAGTGCTGCTCTGGCACACAGCCCTCCCATGAGACCCCAAGCCTTCCCAGGTCCCTTCTTTCCTTACAGGTGGGCTTGCAGATTTTGCCTGTTGATGGCAACCCCTACAAGTCCTCAGCTGTCATTTGCCACCCGGATGGTGGCTCTGACCTTGCTATTTCCTACGATGGACGCTATGTCTTTACAGCAGGGGGGGACGACTGCACTGTTATGAAATGGGAGGTCAACCTAAAGTGAGTACGGCAGGAAGGAGAAAAGAGTCTTGTCATGGCTTTCCACAGCTGCTTGGCCAACACAGGCTCCCAAAAGCCCTGGCTCAGCACCTACAGACAGCTCGTCACGGTGGGCATGTGCCATGCCAGGGATGGTGGCATGGCAGTGGGGTCAGCGTAGATTGCTATGACCTGTCAGGCCCCAAGGAGCCACGTGGGGTGGCAGCTGAACCAAGAGGGACACAATTTTTTTGGGAGGGAGCTTTGCCCCCCTCCACATGATGTAGCCATATAGTCCATAGAGGGGATTAAACCAGCAGACCTTGCACACGGTGGCCATAGCACCCATAAAATACTCCAGTTTGGGAAACGGTACCCAAATGGTAAGAAGATGAGTAGAGGATTTTCTGGTTCTTGTGAGGGCCTGGCAGGTGTGATGGGGGATTGTCGGGGTTAGTCGTGGGTTCGGAGAAGCGGCGCTGGCTGCAGGAGGAGCAGACAGGGTGACTGCTGATACAAAAGTGTCTGCTCTCCAAATGGGAAAGGGCAGCATTTGCTAGGAAATCCCCCCTGCATTTGAAGACTGGATTTAGGACAAGCCACCGTAATCCTATAAAGCTTTGCTTACATGAGTAAATGGACTGCAGTAAATGGGGTGGCCAGAGGAGTGAAGGCTGCTTTTGCAAATGAGGATTTCCAGGCTCTGGCCCAGAGTGTCAGCGATAAACCCTGCCAGGTTTCTTCTGCCTTTCTCTGGAAGTGTGCGATCTCCCTCTGCCAGCTCCCTTGGGCAGCGGTGCCAGACCCGTGCTCCCGCGTGGCAGGCGGGTAACGCAGCAGAGGCAGGGTCTGTATTTCAGTGTATTTGCACGTTGAGGACCAAAGGTGCCCGTTGCAAGGTGTGTGCAGGGCAGAGGGCTCTCCCCTCGCGAGCGTGGCTGCGGGCACCCCACAGGCACACGTGTACGTCGGAAGGGAGCAGGCAGCTGCGAACGTGCTGAAAACTGCCAGGCCAGCGTGGAGCAACTTCTCACTTCAAGGACTTGAAAGGGAGCGTAGCCCGTGTCGGGGCTAGAAATGATGGATAGTGCAGCATGGTCTCTGTCGGTCCATGGCTGGATTCTTTTTTTTTTATCCTGCATGTCATTGTACTGCTTAGCACAGAACACGTCTCCTGGTTTCTGGCAAACCAACCCCATGTGAGCTGACGTTTAGCCCTCGCTCCTATTTTTGTCTTTTGGAGTTCATTGAACCTGTGAAACACCGCTGCCCCTCACCTTCCTGGGACAAAGGCTTCGTGGTTAAGACACGTGCTGGTCCTGCCTAAAATGTTTCTTGCAGGTACTGCTAGCTCAAAGGAAAGCCCAAAGGGTGCTGAGCCAGCTCACCTTCATGTGCCAGAACAAAGGAAACCTGGGTGGGAAAGCAATGGGCTTATTTATTTTCTTTTCCACTTTGTGTGGCTTAAGCAGTCGGGGGTCAGAATAAGCGACATTTTAAGGAAGGCAATAGAATATAAATGATCCTTCTTTATAATGGTTGGCCAGGGTCCAGGCAACATTGAATTCCTATGTAATTTGTTTTCGGAGCGAAGCTCTTGATGAGCTAATTATCATTTTATTGCTGCTTCTGGCATCTTGTGCATCTCCACTGTGTTTAATACCCAAATAACTTAATTATGAAAAAAGCGTGAAGCTTGCAAAAACCCCAGTGGCAGCAGCACCACAGAAGCGTGCGTGAAAGCGGCAGCCTCGCTGCCGGGCACGGGGTGTTCTGTGGCAGCGCTACGCCGTGATTGCGCTACCAGGCTTGGTTTCCCTTTTCATCCGCACCAGCCGGACGGACTCTTTTGGCTCCAACTGCCTATGAAATTGAAACAAAGAGGTGGCACTCGGGTGCTTTCGGTTTAATGCCAACTGCACCTGCGACACAGCCACCCGCTACAGCAGAGGAAGTAGCGAAATGGGATTGCGCCGAGTTATTGGGGAAGAATGTGTTAGATCGAGGAACAGGGAGCTTAGGTTTGCGTGGTTTATTGCAAACACCCAGCCCCAGCCCTCTCTGCATGTTCAAAATGCTGATCCAGCTAATTCATCTCCCTCAATGTCTCTATAAGGAAGCAGAAAAGCTAAATGCCAGACACGAAGCCCAAGTCCATGGAAAAGCTCCTGGCTCCCAGCCCTGTGCTCATTCCACCAAACAAGAGGACCATTCAGTAATAATTAATTCCCACACTGTGCTATTGTATGTAAAACCTGGGTATGAAATATGCAGCAGAAGTGCAGGCTGATGATAAAATAGCACACGGTTCAAGGCAATGCTTTTCTTTCCTGAATTCTGAGGCCCGGAGACTTTTTTTTATTATTTATTGAAAGTGTCTGCGAACAATGACTAGAAAGGGAAACGTGAAATCTCTCCTCACATGAACCCTTCCTGTACCTTCTTTTCTCTGCTTCTGCCAGTGCCCTGGATGCTGCTGCTTCCCTGGGTGGGGAGGACTTGATCCCATTCTACACCCTACTGGATGGCGGCAGAGAAGGCGAATTCTTCAGGGTAATTATGCTCACCGTGAGTGCTGTCTGGCAACATCTGGCTGGAGTTTAAGATTCATTTATACGGGCCTGACATTTCTTTATTTTTTGTCCAGCTCGCCTTTAACAGCAATCTCATTGATACGCCTGTTAGTAAATCTGAAAAGGAGCCTTATCTTCCGTGCCTGTTGGTAACTGAACTTCACAGTATTTTGTCTGAATCCCTTGTAGGAACTGGAAGACTATTTTTACTATGCACAGCTGCGCAGCCACGGCATTGATACGCTGGAGACCAGACAGGTGTCAACGCATATTCCCTTGGAGGAAATTCCTTCTGTAATGAGAGCAATGGGATTTTATCCATCAGAGGAAAAGGTCGGTGAGTTGTTTTTTATTGTTGTTATTAAAGAAAAAAGAGGAAGACTGATTGCATTTAACAAGTGTCCCGAGGGCCAGATTCTGACCGTTGTCATGCTGAATGGCTCCAGAGTGTATTCACTGGCTTTCAGTGTATTTAACCTCGTCTGTGTCAATATAGCAGTGGTCAGACTCTGGCAGAAAATTCCTCAAAGAGTAACGATTCGTCGTTAGAGAGCTGGGCAGCTGCAGGGGCAGGCTGAGCAAGCCTGGAGCCTGATGGTTCAGAAGTGCTCAAGAATTGGTGACCGCAAGGTCTTCTGGAGATTGAGTGGTCTTCCACCACTGCAGAGGTGGGTTTCTTCAGAAGGTGAACTGAGAAAGTTGAGGAATGAATCTTCCTTCGGCTCCCAAGGGCAGCAGCCTCCAACTTTCCAAAGTCCATGGGCTGAAGTACCCTGTGTGCAGGCAGCCATGTGTCTTGGTCTCTCTGTGACTTCTATGAGTGGGTGAACTGCTTTACATGCAGCATGTGGTTGGAGGCCGTGGGCTGAGTCCCTCCAGGTCAGATGGAGACTCAACCAGAGCATCCTATGTGTGTTACCAACACGGGTGGGAACATCCAGCTCCATGCAATCACTCGTCTGGGCATTGACAGAGCCTCTTTTTCTTGTTCTGCCTGGGGCTGATGAAAGAGTGATTTTAGATGGAGACAGCACCTTTTATTTCCACAGAACTTAAAGCTCTTTCATAACTGATAAACTCTGCAGAAGCTCTCTCTGAGCTTGCCTTTCAGGTTGCAGCAGCAGAACTTCCTATCAAACATTTCTCAAGAGCTTCTTAGCTTCAAATTTTACGGCAGACAAAGACAACTGATTTAATAAGGGTGCTGCTTCTTCCCCTTTTGTGGCTGTTTCTACAAGCCAGTTTGTATTGTATACAAACCTCATTTGTAGTGTAACCTACCAAAAGGGTAATTAAAGTGCATATAAAAAAAAAAATTACTGAGTCTGATGCAAAGAGATTTAAATAACGACCTCTTTGTGCCAGCTACAGCCCTTCAACGCAGGAGGGGTTCTCCCAAGGGAAGCGATACATCGCTGCTGTCTCTTCATCTTTCTGTGGGGGAGGCTGTGTTCATCTCTGCCATTGCACAGGAACCCCACAGGCTGCTGAGACGGTGCTGTGAGTCAATGCCACCCCATCTGCCCGGGCATTCTCTCTGCCAGGAGAGCCAGCAGATGGAGGCAGGACCTTTGCCATAGCCACCACCTAACAGACTTGCTTTGGAGCCCCTGCAACGAGCTTATGTTCATCTGAGCCAGGGCTGCTTCGCCCTTGTGTCAAGCGGCGGTGTTATCCCCTCGTATTTTGTTAGATCTTTTGCTTGGCTCATTACGGTCTTGCCTCTTGGGGATAGAGAGAACATATTCCCTGGGGAAATGTCTCTGGAAGAATAACGGTTAACCCCCTTCCCTGCCCCGAATCAAAATGGAAACAGCATTTCAGGCATAGAAACAGAGGTGCTAAGCTGCTGTGAAACCAGGCAACCTACAATCTGCCTCTTGAAGCAGGTAGGACAGTATTAGAAATACAGAGAGAAAGTTCACCTCGCTCCGGAGTGTTTTAATAAAGGAAAAGCAGGAGAGAGAAAAGGCGGCTTGGGCTGACTAGCAAAGGTTTTGGGAACTGGTGTTTTTCTTCTGTAGTTCAGTGGGGCTGATACAAAGCCTAAGCCCAGATCAGCCGGAGCTGAGTGAAAACGACTGTTCTTGCCTGGCGTGACATTCGCTACAGGAAAAATATGAGGCTGAGATTTCCCTCTTCCCCGGGCTTCATTCAGTGGAAAAACTTGTGACACAAGGACAAAGGCCCAAGGCTGAATGCAAAGTCCTCCCCAGGGAGATCTTGCATCAGCTTCCCTTCCCGGGGAGTAGCACGCTTGATACGTGTTGGCACAGGGAATTCTCCCGGCGTTCCTCTGCTGCCTGTGTATCTGCAAGGGGGCTCCTCTTGGAGCACGAGCACACTGAAGGCATGGAGCAGATCCTGCCTTTCGGACACACATCTGCACAGCTGCCAACTGGGCTGACTCACAGCACCAGATTTTAGGCAAACCACTAGTATCCAGCACGGCCAGTGCTTGCCCGTTTGCCCGAGGGAAGAGCGATCCAGCTGTGCAGGATGTCAGCCTCTCACAGCAAATTTCAGATTTGGCTCGTGCAGTGGCAGAACTGCACCAGACGCGTGTCGGATCGGAGAAGGGGGAAGATTGCTGACGCCTGCCAGAGCGTGTATGTACTGCGTGCAGCCTGACTGTGCCAGGACTTTCATGCATGCACTTTCGTAGCGGGGAGGTACATTTACTGTTTTGTGGTTTGCCTGCCCACTGTCCCCAGAGTGGGGACACAGCTGTGGCAAAGGTACCAGTAACAGCTGCAAAGTCACTGGGTGCCTATCACACAAGCAAATAGAGGAAATCCAAAATGACTACGTATCTGCTACCCCTGTCTTTACCTATTATCATCGTTAACAGCGAGCGTGTAGCCGTTAGCCATGTCCACCCTCAGCTGCTGAGTGCTATTTTATTACTGGGATAGAGTCATGGCACCTGTGGTACCAGTATATGCACAAGGACGGTACATTGGCATTCATGAGATCAGAAACTGGCCTGATGAGCTCAAAAAGAGAACGTGTAACAATCTGTCTGTCTTGATCTTTAGATTGAAGAAATGATAAATGAAGTGAAATTCAGCAAGTATGTGGATACTGGAGAACAAGTGACGAAAATCAATTTAGGGGATTTTATCAAACTTTATATAAATCATCGACCTGTGTTCGGCTTGTCAATGAAAAAAATACAACGGGCGTTTCAGGTTCTTGGTTATGATAATGAGAATGGAGACAAAGTTATTGACAGAGGAGACTTACTGTTGCTGCTTCAGTGCAGAGGTGAGTTATCTCTTTTCTAATATTAGTTTTATGCTTGCTAGTTCTGCCTTCAATTTCAGAACGTATTCACTGCAGCAAAAAATTAATCTGGAACTATAGCTTGGTAACCAGGGCAGGCGTGTGGAGCCACCTGTCTTAGGATTTTAAATTGAATAATCACGTCTATTGTCTCAGCGGCACTTCTTTTACTGCTCTGGGGATCTCTGCTGGCCTGAAGTACCTTGTCTGTCAAATGATGAGTATGGATCTTGGCAAATTGTATCCTTCCTCCAGTACACCCTTATCTGAATCATTGTTCTCTCTTCCAGTCACACAGTCTCCAGAAAGGCAGCATAAAACTGAAAAAGAGGGGGGCAAGAAAGGAGGGGGGGACATTGGTCAGTGCCGGATGGAATTTATGCATGAAAGACTGAAAAGAGGGGATGGTTTAGTTCAGCTGATCAGAGGTAACTGCAAAGGCTTGTACAAATATGCTTATGGCCAATGCCATAGAGAGGTAAATAATGAACTTCTATTGCCTTGCTCCTGTTGTAAAAGCAGGTAGCATTTAGTGCAGCTAAGCATTAAAACAGCCAAAGAGAAATGCTATTTTACTCAGTACCTCACCTGGTAAAACTCCTTGCCACAATGATCCTGGGAAACCAAGGGTTCAACCAGTGTGAGAAAGGTTAGTTATTTATATGGACGGTGTGAACATCCATAAATAGCTCCATTACATAGAACAGTTTCATAACAGATCTATAACTTTATGCTTCAGGGCATGAGCCAACCACTAACTGGGAGTAAGTGCTATTCCCAGGTTATTCCAGGATACTAGATCAAGACTTTCCTGCACCTTCCTGTTCTTCGTCTGGTGGAAATGGCTACAGCCATGGCCACGGGGTGACGTGGACCATGCTCTGTCCTGTGTC